GTGTGAAACGGTAAGTCGAGTAGAACATGTCGTAGTGTATCTGAAATGATGTCCAGTTTTCGGCGCTGGGCTGACGTGACGCTACCGGGTAGAGCACGTCACCTCTGAGCTTATGCGAAAGTCTTCCACTCATATCTACCATTATTGTCAGAGATGATTGCAGACGCTTTTGGATAGAACGGGACAAATGTTTGACCTTCAACAGGAGTTTGAATGAAACGGATTCGTCGAGCCATAGGAAGGACCTTTCGGGTGTAATTTGCGGTTCTGGCTGTACGCCTGTTGCTGGTATGAAGAGAGTTGAAACTTTTGTATAGCAGTGAGAACATAGTGGCTTAGGATGCCAGATTTAGGCAGACAGCAACTACCTGCTACAACTATAACCCATCAGATAATTAGAGTGTTCCAAGTGCAACCTCAACATGAACATGTTATGGGTAACACTTTTTTGGTATTTATGGATTTTTGACCATTGGATTGATGAGCAAGATAGAAACCCATCAATAGTGGACAAAATGTTGTAGCCATTTCACTAAATTCCAGTATCGTCTATTTGTCAAGACCACGCCCACGAAATAAAAAGTCAGGCGTTAAAACTAGCAGGAAATGAAAGTGAACATAAATAGGAATTGTTCCAAAAGCTTGTGAAATTGGTAGCTTATTCAATCATGGGAATGTATGCTGAGCAGTAAAACGCTGCGCAGAACAAAACATGCGCTGTTAAATTTTTTAGCGACACAAATAGTGTTTCGGTAGTCAAGACTGGCGCGTTAGACAGAAAAGCCAGTCATACAGGGTGAATGGTTGGAGGCTCTGACGGCAGTGGGCAGTCAGCGCCCAGAATTTCGCGTACAGGTACCTAGCGCGTGTGTAACTTAGAGTGATGAGCAGTCTTGGATTTCTGAGAATGAATTTGGAAAGCTTCAGTAGTGGACTGACAAAACCAGATTTCACAACTTAATGTGATGAACGGCATATTAACTAAAATATTAGCATCACAATCAATCCCACCAGAACGTAGGCCACATAGGAGGAAGAATTCAAGAGCATCGTACTTCTGCTTCGTCTCGCTACGCGAAGTCACTCCGCACCCATTCAGTGCTACGTTCACGTTTTTTACTGCTGCTTGATGACAGAAGACGATCAGGTTAGGCAGAATGAGAAACTTCGGAATAAGTGCTATTATCTCTCCAGAACAAAAGCTGTTCAGATACTGAATGCATTTTTCGGGTTCTCTAGGTACCCGAATTAGGTGAAGTAATCGGGTAGATTGCATGACTTGAATGGTCTGCGAGGTATACACTCAACTCTCAGATTGTTGGACAATGTTCTGGTTACGACAATTAGATCCTAAACAGGTTGTACCTAAGGTTGTTGTACAGGTTGTACCGGAGGTGCAGAACAGCAATATTCACCTGAAGAAATGCATGCTCTTGAGACAAGATCACTGAAGCCACGAGCAATGAAGCGACCTACTCTTGCAAATCACCGTCATTATTAGATAGATTGTTGCCCAACGTAGCCACCATCTCTCCCTGGTATTCGTCTCTCTATCTTCAGCCCGCATAGGAAGACCGAGCTATATAACGCCCGAGCCAGGTGATAGCTATTTGTCCTATTGATTACTTACTTAGGCCTCAGCTTTATGTACGCATTCCGTTGCATCCGGAATTTTGTGTTCGAGCTTTTGATTGCGAAGCCCCTTATCACTCTTCTGCGAGGATGCTCATAAGTTGGATTTCATTTGTTGAACGTACCCTATCCTTAACGGCTATCTCACTTATGAGTGAAATATAGCGGGATTGGCTGGATTCAGGCAGGTCTGTTAATCTCGGTACCAATAATCTACCGAGGCACCGGCTGCGCTTCATCTGGATTCACGTATACGGGTTAGGCAGTTGCAACATTTACTGATAGCAGTTGAAAACGTTTCCTTTGAAGGTGAAGGGCCTATCTAAACAAGGTACTGAGGAAAGAATTTAGACGGGGAGCCTAGTTCCCAGAGTGAGCGCCAAACTAAGATTTTATGCAGCCAATGACGAGCAATAAAGTAGTGCTTGTAGAAGCAAATTTGATTCTGAATGAAGAGCTTGCGGAAGACTTCTAGAAACTCTTTCTGTTTGATCAGCGGTGTCTCAGAAAAGTTGCGCAGGTCTGGTGGGAAAATCAGATCAGTAATGCCGAAGTATGCCAGGTGGTACTTCAGGAAAGTTCACACCCCATCGTCAGATTAGCTCATCACATTGCAGTTTACTCTGCTTAGGCCACGTGCTTTGTATGCCAGGCGGCCGCTTGCCTAGCAGAGCACTCTTCGCTCATCCTTGTGTCGGGTGGGGACGATCTATGGGAGTTTGATTCATGGCTTGGCAACGAAAGTCCTTACTGGCCAACTCGATCGCCTTGGTGACTGTCGTTTTCCGGATGTGAAACTCGTGACCAGACAAACCAAGGATTAGTGACCCCGACATGTATGGCTGTGCCATAGACCAAATGGAGGCCTTGCATCACAGTTACCGCTTTCACAACACGACTCCCAATTCCAGTCATAATGGATCCATCTGTCGTCAATGTGCGGGGTGGGCCATCATCTCGAACAAGTAGCCATCATTAATTTATTTCCTTATCATCGGCTAACGAGGCTGTAGCCACTGAGACCATCGCACTCCGCAAGCTTCCTGGGCTGAAAAGCATGACAGGACTCAATTGATCTTAAATACCTTTTCAACTGCGGCCGTAGCGGGGAAATGCGAACTAAAGTAACGGTTTCTGTGACGCACGGAGCCCAGTAGCTGCGCAATGCTCTTAGCTGCAAAACCTTTACAAGTGGAGTAGAACGTTTTGCTCCAGAATGTTGCAGTTTGTTTCGTATGTGCTCAAACCAAAAGCCAATCTCACCTACGTTCATATTCTTGCAGCTCACCAAAATTCATTATCCAATGGAGCAATCATAGATCTGGCGGAAAAGTCTGGTGCAATAATTCCCCAGCGCCGCTGAAACCCGGGGATGCCCAAATGGGGCTCACAAATTTGGACTGGTACTCCCAACTCAATTGCCCGATTACTTTAGTCCATCAGAAACACGTCATAGCCTTCAAAAATTCCATTCCATTGTGCGACTACTGAGCGGCGTGACGCACAGTTGAAAGATCAGCGATCAGTTCAGGAAACCAATTAACAAGGTTGTATAACAGGGGTCATAAAAGGGTTGAACTGGGGTAATCGGTATAAATTGATTTGTGTCCCATTCACATATCACCACGGTAAATCCTTACTGGATACCCCTGTACTGGTGTACCGAGCAAGGAGGGTATAGTAAGACCCTATCGTACTATACGTTGAAACTGTCAAACGAGAGTGACGTGAATATGAATTCTTCAAAGCCCGTAACCACCTACGATTACCTGCTATCGCTCCTTTATTCGTCGGAAATATGCACCGTTCGCTGATTAAAATGAACTAAAAATTTTACGAATGAACTGAATTAGAGAATTTGATTGGACTCTGGGTGTTTCCAGATGCTCAGTAGTCTACCTTAGCACAATTCCCCTCGTTTACTCGGTGAAAAGTTGTAAAACTATCCTCGGTATGCCTCAGTAACTGCCTGAAAAATTGCACATTCTCAAAATGTCAAGTTTATGTTGTTATTTTGATTTGATCATGTAGCGGTGAACCTGGTCAGTTTATTCGTATACTATAAGACACTTTATGAGAACTCCGTGTAGAGATTTTGTCCATGCATGGGAGTAAATGGAAGAAGCGAGTTTGACCCTTTTATGTTTTTTCTCAGTTTTCGTATAATACAGTTTGAGGTATGTCAAACGTGGGTGTGAGAGTAGCACTCAAGATAGACATTGGGGCCTCCTCGGAAAAAGCCCTTCTCAAAGGAGCTATGATGTTATGATGGGTAACATACGGGGGTGGGCGGGATCGATAAGGAATAGTTAGATACATTTCAGAACGTTTCAAAACAGCACATGTGGTTAACCATCAAAATGGGTATGCTGAAGCCATCCTTGGAATGAACAATGCGTACCAAATCGATATCGAATTTAAGAACCACGAAAAGTTCGGCAAACGTGTAGAAAGGGTGATAATTAGAGAAAGTTGTAATGATTCTGACGTTACGGCTACCATAGGCAACTCTTTAATGTGCGAACTTCTCCGCACAGTGAAAAAGGGGGACGACACAAATACACTTAGTTGCAAATCAATTTGGTTTTCATGGGAGACAGTTGAATCTCTTGGAGTGAAACATCTTGAAGCCCAGTTGGTGAATGGACCTCATAGGCAACGGCAAGCACTAAGAAGCCGGTGAGTGTATGTCTACATTGTTATGTTGGTCTGTGTGTGACTAGGTAAGGCCAGTCTCCATTCTATCCGGGAAAAATTATTCTGGTGAGTCCATACAAAAACAGAGAAGCACTGGACTCAAGATTCACTCTTATTAGAGCCAATCAGCAGTGCATATCCACGGCTGTGCTGGGTTTGAACCTCGGAAGTCAGACGTGCCGGGGCGGGCTTTACCACATTGACAGAACTTGCGCTGTTACAGGGGTCAACAACCAAATTCGAAAAGATATAAAAGACTGTAGCTGGGAATTCGAGAGAAATGGCGTTAAGGTTTCATTGTTTGACTCGGCCCCCTGTCGTGACTGGTACCCGTTACATTTCGCGGCTCCTAATACTCAACTTATTATTCCGGCAGAGAGAGAACGACCAAATCCACCACTCATACTATTCAACAGTTATCATATTATCAACATAGTGGCACCCAGAACTCAGTACTGTGTGAAGACTAAATAACAGTAACCCCGTGGTCCGATAAGAGCTTCGACGGATCGGCCGAATCCAGTGTCTTCTGAAGGTTGGTGTCTCCAGAGGGAGACCTGTAATAAAATCAACCCGGAGAAAAACACCGAAGTGACTTCTGTTCTTTTAGCTTAGTTAGGTAAAAGTGCCGAAATGGATGATATCTGAAACGTGTTGTATGCGGGACTCACGTAAAACCAGCAGGTGGTAATCAATAGAGGTTGTCATGTGGTTCCCGTATAGCAAGTAGCATCTTGCAAGAGCTTTGCCTTGGTTTACTCCAGGGGCGATTTCCAACTTCGAACCCTTAACACTCAAACGCTTCACTGGGTCGTAGATTATAGACCACTTTACGTGAAAGGCTGAGCGCTTATCAGCTGAGAAGTCGCAAATCACATCCTTCTTCTTAGGCGAGTTCATGAGCGGTATGTCACCAGATAATTTCATGTGAATCGGATTGTCTGGAAAGTAGAAAAATATATTAAGATGCCACAAAGTTACCTGAGTCTCACAGCTTTCGGAAAGCATGCCGAAACTGTGTGCTGCTTCGCTTTTATTCAGTTAAATATTAGAAAACCAGGAGAGCCACGGATGGAAACCAAGTATTAATGCTATATTTTCTCAATTCTTATTCTTTCAGAATTAAGAAAAAACAACTGTTCTGTTGTTTTCACCTCGATGCCTTTTGATGCAGTCCGAAAACGAGTCAAAAATGTTCATTTGTACATAGCTGAAAATCACATGCATCCATGCTTTTATAACCCTAAACGAGGTGGTGCCTCTCTGACCAATAGCACACATTCAGTCCTAATTCGGCATACGGAGACACGCGACACGGAAGAGAATTCCTGGAAGCATGGTACTCCATGGCAGATTCGATCAACCGTTGCGTCGAACTGGATCCAATTTACGCACCTCTACGTGCAAAAGACCAACATCTCAACCGGAACATTCAAGCAGGACCGAATATTGGATTCACAAAGAAACGAGGAACTCCTCGGAGTCAAATCAATAAAGGTCACAAGCCGGAACTCGGAAGGACAAACGCCACTACAACATCGACCAGACTACGAGGGCGAGGGATGCTAAGCTCAAAGTTCACGTAGGCATCGGCGAGTGAGGACACGGGATGACAGAACAACCAATGGAACCGCCCGACCGAACAACTAATCGCGGTCAAAGGTCATCCCCGGCTACCAGCACGTATATAAACACACGTAACACTACTGAACGCACAACCACTAACCCACCGCTACGCACAACTACGCTCCCCAATAACGCACTGATGATGTCCCATCGATTGGTGATGAAACGTTTGCAATCAAACTGCCCAGCTCAGCGAACAAACCAACGACCATCTACGCTACCTGAGCTACAGACATTTACCTCTATAGAAAACATGCATATATGCTCAAAAGTGATCTTTTAATCAGATTGCTATTTAACCCTACGGTCGGTTCCAGGGACTAGAACTTTCTGACGAGCTCCAAGCGGGGAAAAATTGTTAATGAATACTCTAAGGGTTTTAAGTACCTGCTCCACCTAATTGCCATGCGCAATAATGAGTTGCTTGACGGACCGTCGGTCATGTTATCGCATGATCCTATTTACCTCACTTACGGATCGTTCTTGATAGGCCCGTTTTAAGTAACTTCATTCTTTCTATTGCGTCCAATATTCATTCTGAGTCACCCTGGCGTTCACAGAATCGTCGTGACGAAAAGTTAACTTCATATCTGGAGACGTGCACTAGTTGGTCACGATGGCGGTAACAGATTACAGATGATGAAGAGGCCTTATGCTTGATACTTCTAGCATGTCTTGGAAGAAGTAGAAGCTGTCTATCTCAAACAATTTATGAGTTCGTAGAATGATTTCTGTATCACTGTTTTAGTCGTGCGACATTCTTCACACCCTATCTTAATAATTTTACTTATTGTTTTCTGGTTCCATAGAAAATGTGCATAGTGGGTGAAAAAATATTTAACAAATTGTGTTCTGGGTACGCACTCCATGGTATGAATTAATAGATATGGTCGTTTATTTATTACTCTATCTTTCCAAGTCAGTTCTTTGTGAATCGGAATAGAGCAAAGAAGCCTAGTCATTTTGAGACCGTTCGTAATAATACTCCACGATCCCTGAACTAGCTGGAAAAAACGTCACTCGATACCACCTTCGGTATTCAAACCAGACTAGTAAGATCCCGAGAACTTTAAGAGCCTTAGTGAAGTCGACTTTAGCTTTGGTGAAAGCCATTTCAGACGCTGGGTATGACGCACTCTGTGATATGTTGCAATCTCTTTGATAGCAAACGAAATTACTTCTGTCACAGTACAGTCACGGTCAATACAACAGTCAAAAACGCTTTCTATTCTGATGATTGGAAACTCTTAGACAAGATATGGCATCCTAAGGGACAAAATTACCACCACTTTATTGTTTGGGTGGATAACCATTAAATAACAAAGTAATATTCATTGCACATTGCCTTTTGCCAGGTGTCATTTTGATTCCGGTATTCTAGAGACTACAGTTGGTAAAAAAATAGATGTGAAAGCCAAATCAAAGAAGAAATAGGAGTCGTTTCAACGCGCCCAGACAATGTGATGAAGCTCCCAGGAGAATTCCAAGGCTTTGCTGAAAATTTCATGGCATTCGTAGTGTTTTGGAACATTTTGGCTCGAAGCGAATATTGTCATTATCCGCGGTACTCTAGCTGGTTATTTACAAGAATCCTCAAACAATCAGCCAAATCAAGAGAATCTAAGGACATTAGCTGAAGCGTGCATATATATATATATATATATATATATATATATATATAATTGTGTCACCACATCATTCTATTATATGTATGATATATTATAGCATTATTTATCACATTCACAAAAAAGCTGTTCTGCTCACTAATCTTCATATGGATCGATGGAACTGTTCATTTGTGTTCCATAAACCTGTACCATTAAATTCACTTTCGACTGAACACAGCCACAACCAACCAGAATCATGTCTTCCTTATTTGCCGGATTTGGAGCACTTAGCTGTTCGCATTTCTTTAATTCAGGATTCGGAATGCAGAGCACTAATAAGCGCAACTGAGCACAAAACAGACAGCCGCGTACACATTGCAAATGATGGAAGGCTTATCTTGCCTGAGATGGAAAAGTCGTGTGCCTTGTGCCTACTTAGATAACGCCCGTAGATTTTGAGTTGAAATGCCGATACTGAATATTGGTCTATAGAGTTACGCATTCAACGAAAATGCACCTAATTTGGTTGTTGATTAGTGCATTCGTACAAGGAACGATACATTTATGTATTCGTAAGAAGTGCGCCTCATCGAGCTGAGTTCAATGTGACAAAAAGTTTCCTTCCTCACAAGTTCGGCATATCGATTATAATCATCAAATGGGATACTGTGATGAAGAGGCAAATGTCAATTTCATATCTTTCTCTCCCACTTGAAACGACAAATCTAACTAGTCCTGGTGTCACTACGATGATGGCTTCCAGCATCGTTATTCACTGAAAACAAAAATTACATATCTTGCGGCTGCTATGAGTAACCAGAACGCAGTTCGATAAAGGGTGCGTTATGTAATTGATCCATTGGAAATGATCATCCGAGTATCGGGTGCAAACGAACACTGAAGTGCTGAGAGTGAGGATAAAGCAGTCGGACTGAATTGAGGCAAAGATTAAATGATGCAAGGTCACTAGTCTGTGGAGAATTTATGCGACTGCCTGTCCTTCCTGCTCTGTTAAAATGTATTGGCTTTGGGACAACAGAAGCCCGTACAAAGTCCCTTCCGTCGACCCCTGCCTATGGACCTAGTGCACGCTTCAGGGTGCCAAATAAGCCCTCCGCCTGGCCGTTTGGCTGTGGATGAAACGATGGTAAGTATGCATGAATTACATCATACTTCCGAAAAAACTCTGCGAACGCCTATAATGTGAACTGACTGCCGTTGTGGTCTCTGGCATACCATAGGACTGAAAAGCCGCCGGGATTCCAGGGCTTTAGTAAAAGTTGTGGGTTTGTTCACTGGAAGAATTCCTGGCCGCTTGCTATAGGCGTCGAATATGACCAAAAAATGTTGGTCACCTGTTGAACCTGAATAGTCGGCTGTGGCCATGACCGTAGGTAGGTTTTCAGGTAGCTGCTCAACCACACAGCAAGAGTTGGCGAGATCTGGTGACCTGCTTAATGTGGGAGCCGTCCAAAAACCGATAAAGTGTCTTCATCCTATTTTTTCTTCGAAACTGAATCAGTACTGCTTGTTTAGCCTCTTTGAATATAACAACGCGTTCGGAAAACAAAAGGCATACATCGGCTAATGATAGTGCGTCACGCCGGTTGAAGTAAGTTCTCAAGGTTTCTTGTTGGCAGGTACGGGGTCACTGACTGCGGTGGTACCTGATGACTACTGCAGCACAGGGTCTTGGTCAGCAGCCTGGCGGGAGGGTCCAATTAGTTCCGACATTAAGCGGCTCCAAGGTATTGTCCTCTGCTTCTTGTCTGCTTGAATCAGTCAGACACAACAGTGCGTTGCCTTGCCCGGGACTGGTTGTGGACTCATCCCAGAAGCGGAGTGGCACAGCGCTTGAGATTGTTGACGCCACACAACAGAATTCTCTTCGTTGAGCCAAACACAGTAAGCCCACTACAACATCGACCAGACTACGAGGGCGAGGGATGCTAAGCTCAAAGTTCACGTAGGCATCGGCGAGTGAGGACACGGGATGACAGAACAACCAATGGAACCGCCCGACCGAACAACTAATCGCGGTCAAAGGTCATCCCCGGCTACCAGCACGTATATAAACACACGTAACACTACTGAACGCACAACCACTAACCCACCGCTACGCACAACTACGCTCCCCAATAACGCACTGATGATGTCCCATCGATTGGTGATGAAACGTTTGCAATCAAACTGCCCAGCTCAGCGAACAAACCAACGACCATCTACGCTACCTGAGCTACAGACATTTACCTCTATAGAAAACATGCATATATGCTCAAAAGTGATCTTTTAATCAGATTGCTATTTAACCCTACGGTCGGTTCCAGGGACTAGAACTTTCTGACGAGCTCCAAGCGGGGAAAAATTGTTAATGAATACTCTAAGGGTTTTAAGTACCTGCTCCACCTAATTGCCATGCGCAATAATGAGTTGCTTGACGGACCGTCGGTCATGTTATCGCATGATCCTATTTACCTCACTTACGGATCGTTCTTGATAGGCCCGTTTTAAGTAACTTCATTCTTTCTATTGCGTCCAATATTCATTCTGAGTCACCCTGGCGTTCACAGAATCGTCGTGACGAAAAGTTAACTTCATATCTGGAGACGTGCACTAGTTGGTCACGATGGCGGTAACAGATTACAGATGATGAAGAGGCCTTATGCTTGATACTTCTAGCATGTCTTGGAAGAAGTAGAAGCTGTCTATCTCAAACAATTTATGAGTTCGTAGAATGATTTCTGTATCACTGTTTTAGTCGTGCGACATTCTTCACACCCTATCTTAATAATTTTACTTATTGTTTTCTGGTTCCATAGAAAATGTGCATAGTGGGTGAAAAAATATTTAACAAATTGTGTTCTGGGTACGCACTCCATGGTATGAATTAATAGATATGGTCGTTTATTTATTACTCTATCTTTCCAAGTCAGTTCTTTGTGAATCGGAATAGAGCAAAGAAGCCTAGTCATTTTGAGACCGTTCGTAATAATACTCCACGATCCCTGAACTAGCTGGAAAAAACGTCACTCGATACCACCTTCGGTATTCAAACCAGACTAGTAAGATCCCGAGAACTTTAAGAGCCTTAGTGAAGTCGACTTTAGCTTTGGTGAAAGCCATTTCAGACGCTGGGTATGACGCACTCTGTGATATGTTGCAATCTCTTTGATAGCAAACGAAATTACTTCTGTCACAGTACAGTCACGGTCAATACAACAGTCAAAAACGCTTTCTATTCTGATGATTGGAAACTCTTAGACAAGATATGGCATCCTAAGGGACAAAATTACCACCACTTTATTGTTTGGGTGGATAACCATTAAATAACAAAGTAATATTCATTGCACATTGCCTTTTGCCAGGTGTCATTTTGATTCCGGTATTCTAGAGACTACAGTTGGTAAAAAAATAGATGTGAAAGCCAAATCAAAGAAGAAATAGGAGTCGTTTCAACGCGCCCAGACAATGTGATGAAGCTCCCAGGAGAATTCCAAGGCTTTGCTGAAAATTTCATGGCATTCGTAGTGTTTTGGAACATTTTGGCTCGAAGCGAATATTGTCATTATCCGCGGTACTCTAGCTGGTTATTTACAAGAATCCTCAAACAATCAGCCAAATCAAGAGAATCTAAGGACATTAGCTGAAGCGTGCATATATATAT